TAGGGGGCTAGAAAAAAACATTATTGGCTAGGGTGGGGATGTGTGTGGGTGGATGTGGGTGTGTGGGTGTGGGGTGTGGGTGTGAGTGGGTGTCGGTGTAGATGTGTGGGTTTGGGTGTGGGGTGTGGGTGTGGGTGTCGGTATGGGCGTTTGGGTGTGTGGGGTGTGAGTATGGGTGTTGGTGTGGGTGAATGATGTGAGTGGGGATTTAGTTGGCGATAAATATAAGAATAATATCGAAACCCATACCCACACTCACACCCACATCCACACCCACCCACACCCACAACCACCCACATCCACCCACACACATCCACACCCTAGCCAATAATGTTTTTTTCTTGCCCCTTATTCACACGACCAATAGAATGAGGTGTCGTTGAGCTGAAGAAGTACCAAAATTCTAATTTGACCAAAGATCTGAAAAGCAAATGATTTCACTCTTGTAAATTTTAATTAGATCCTCGTGCAAATGTATGTCAGGTAAATTTCAATCATATAATCAATGAAATCCTTAGCAAACAGATTCTTCAGCATGACTTTTTGTACAACATAAATTAAGAAATTTTCTCAGTATTCGTGCGCAAAGAAAAAAAAAGAGAGAAAAAAAGAAAGAAAGAATGTTGTTGTTCATTGGTTCAGTCATCATCAGTTGTGTTCATAGAAAAATAGCTCATTGTTCTCGTTTGACGATCATTGATATCATCAGTCAAATAAATAAAATAATCATATCTATATAAGTATCCACATTAAGACCTAGAAAAAAATTCATATATAGACGTCATACTAAACATGGAACATTTATTGGTTGAATTAAATGATTTACCAGATGAAATTTTGTTGATGATTTTAAAAAAATTAAATAGCATTTCATTATTATACTCATTAATAGGTGTTAATAAACGACTTGATACCATTGTGCGTGATCCAATATTTACACGTCATTTAAAACTAATGAGACATTTCTCGAATGATTCTATTGAACCGTTATCTGATGCAATCCTTAGTCGTTTATGTTCAAAAATTTTACTTGAAATTCGTAATCAAGTTCAATGGCTTGATCTTGAAGCATCATCTATTGAACGTATATTACTGGCTACAAATTATCCGAATTTATATGGACTTGGTTTATTTAATCTTGACACAGAAACAGCTTTATCTCTATTCTATGGTGAGATATTTCCATTCTTTCATTAATCTAATATATAAAGAAGAATGTCTGTCTGTCTGTTCTCTACGCATTGGATTCTTGTAACAAGCAGTGCGATAGGGAGATTCTCGCTTGAGTTTTTGAAAATTGGCAAAATCTTCGTTGGATTTTTTCAAAAAATTTCGGAAAGTTTTCTGATCTTTAGAGTTCTATTTTCCTGCTTTTACCTCTTGGCGTTATTCCTAGGTCGAGACCACTTTTTGTTCTAAAAAGTTTTATCTCCGGTGGCATTTAGTCGCCCATTGTATGAGTACTACAGTGAGTATCCTATCCAAAGAATCCGTTCGTATTACTGTTTTGTCAATAACTTGAAAACGAAAGAAGATAAAGATCTGCGATTTTTGCAGTTGGATACAAAGAGATTCTAGGTTGTGAAAGTATGCTCAAGTTTATTTGATCTATCTGATGACTAATCGAACTTTCGCATATTTTCATAATCAGTAATTTGAAATTATACGCGGCCGTAAGATAAAAAGGTCATTAAAAGCAATAAGTAAGATTAAACTAATTGGAATGAGAAAGAAATCCAAGCACATTTTGCAACAGTCAAAATCGATCGCTTATAGTAAAACCATGAGACCATCGACTTCTAATATGTTAAGAATGCAATATGAAATTTTCCCGAGGAACGTCGGGTAATGTCGCTAGTTAATAAAAAAAAAGAATTATTTAAAAGAAAAAGAATAAATATTTCGGTTAAATTATCAAAATAAATCTAAATCAATAGTTTTATTATTGATTTTTTTTTGTATTTTTATTTTTATTTAGATCAATCTTCATTAATCCATATAAATAAAAATCAAATCTCATCGCTGATTATCGATATAACTAAAAAAGAAAATCAAAGATCAATGAAATATACTAAAACATTTGTATTTACACAAATCTTTATTCAATATCCTAATTTACAATATTTAAATTTTTGTCCATCTCCAAGTTTATATGTACATTTATCATTTGCTAATTCATCTTCAATTTTCGTATCTTCAAATCTATTAGAATTACATATTTGTTTGGCAAATTTTACTGATTGTCTTTATATTCTCGATGGACATTTTAATCAACTTCGTACTTTTTATGTTAATATTTCTTTGATACAATCTGAAAATAAAAACGTTGATAAAGAGGTAAATTGTTTTAATTTATATTTAATATTTATTCGAAATATTTCATTATATTTTCATTTTATAGAAAAAACTATCGAATTTAAAATGTTTTTCATTACACTGTTATAAGATGACAGATGATTATAATGAAGTAATTTTACCACTTCTATATCGAATGTCAAATTTAGAAGAACTTGATTTAAGTCTTTTTCTTTCAGTAAAAGAAAAATTTCTTGATGGAAATGATATAAAGAAAAACCTTCTCAATCAAATGATACAATTAAATAAATTCACATTTAATATTTACTCAATTGTTTATTGTCATAATCAAATTAATTTACAATCAAATGAAGATATACAAAATACATTTAATGATTATAAATATAATAAAATTATTTGTTCTATTGATTACTTTAAAAAACGTTCTAGTCAATGTCGAATTTATTCATATCCATATAAATTGAAGTTTTATAATTCTATAACAAATAATTTTTCAGGTGAATTATTCAAATGTGTTCGTCAAATATCATTATTGGATGAAAAACCATTTGAACATGAATTTTTCCTTCGAATTGAGAAATCATTTCCATTTTTAGAGAAAATTTCTATACATAATTTTCAACCACAAAATAATAAATCATGTACAGAATCAAACAAGGATCATCAACATTTATCAATTGTGAAATATCCGTATCTTACTAATCTTTCACTTATTAAAGTTCATGATGATTATATTGAACAATTTTTAGTTAATACAAAAGTATCTTTACCAAATAATGTTCATCTTAACATTAGTTATGAACCATTGAAAAGAGTGACAAACAACTTTACAAGAGATGCAACACAAATCAATTGTACAAAATTAAAGTCTTTGTGTGTAAATGTTAGTGAAATTTGTAAACATGTTCAAGATTATTTTCTTCATACAGAGATAATCTGTTTATGATTGAATTTGATACAAATAAAATCCATTTATAGAATAAAACTATTCAAATAGAAACAACTGCTTTTCCTCTTTCATTGATAGAAACTAAATTTATATGGAAATAATCAGACAAGATAAGATGCGATTGATGAAAAACTAGTAAAGAAAATATTCTGATGGACAACACTTAAAAATAACATCGATAAAGACAGTTATTTGATATGATATAAGATGAAATATGTGCCTTACATTTGAGCCATTATTAATGCCAAGACTTTAAAATAATAAACTCATAACACACACTGTGTTGGCAACTATCACGAACTAAATTCATCCTACACTATATTTTTATATACAATATATAATTTTTTATTATAAAAACTCTTCTTTTATATATATATATATATATATGTACAGTGTAGCCCAAAAGTCACGCACCTGAAAGAAAAAAAATGAATATCTCTCTATCAGCTCAAACAAAAGAAGCGGGTTTTTTTTTATCAATGGTAGAGACGTCTTCATGCATTATATTCATACGAGCAAGGTCAGGACTAACCTTTGTTAAGTATCACTATTAACTTTAACACAAAAAAAAATTTTACTTTGTCGCAGATAGAAAAAACAATATGCAAGATAATGCAAAAGTCATTCTATCGAAAAGAAAATTGAATATGTACATTTCGACTCGAGCAAATGAGTTCATTCTTTCAGTAGTGATAGAGACTAGAGTCCTGCACGGGTACAAGTTTTGGCACCCGGAACAGGACCGGCAGATGTTTTTGAATATATAACAAATATTTAAAACTTATTTTTATCAGAAAACATATTACGTATAACACTTAATTTCGTGCAGAAGCACAAATTGATAAACATTTGATAGATCGAACGGAAAGTACTATAATTTCTTTATCATCTTCAATTCAAACGCAATTGCTCCACGACGACGTTGTTGCTAATTTTAACTTTGAACATGTTTTCAAAACACTTTTATCTGTTTTTTTAATAGTTATCTCATCATTCTTAGAATGATTCATATTCTAAAATTTCAATATCTAAAACGATTAAAATTTGCTTTTACCTACAACATGAAAAGTATACAAAGAAACTCGGTTTTCTCCTTCAGAAAGTGTTCAGATGAGTGATGAATCACAGGATTATCATCAGATTCAATTCAGTTTGACTCTATTCTCTTTATGTTAGCAATGGTGAAAACTTAAAATTTTCGAAATTTTGTCATGTCATCACTTACCGATCTGGGTTCGGGTATGCAATTATATTCAAACTCGGACCCATGCTCCGGATCGGGCTGGATTGCAGGACTCTAATTTTGTCCTGGTAGTACCATCATAAAAAAAACAGGTGATATGGTGCCAGAATTTGAAGCAATGATCTATTATAAGCATATTGTCAATGATAATACTTGATCGCTGATTATATGCGAAGAGCAATAGAAAACTATTCAGTTTGATATTTGTTAATTATAATAAATATTTTTTTTGTCGAACAAAAATCTTCTCAAGAATAAATTATTAAAATACTGATTATATCAAAATAAATAATTTTTTCTAAGAAAAAATAAATCGTTTTGCATATTTAATAAATAATCAGCATATTATATTCGATAGACTTCTGATTCTTTTGCATCATAACCAAATAAACTAAGAAAAAACTGCGGTTTTCTGAATTTATTTTTTCAGGATTTGTTTATGAATCCCTTTATACATTTTAATAGTAAATAGAAGGAATTAGACTGATAGGACAAGGACTTGACTGAGAGCGAAGACAGATTCTTCAGATCTGTGATTCTCGTTTGATGCTGTTAAAGTGTATTATTTGTTATCAATAAATAAATCTAATGTTTTAAGTAAAATCCAAAAACAAAATTCCAGCAGCTCCTTCGAAGAAAAGAAGAAGAAGAGCGCCTAAACGTTGTCCAGTAGTAAAAGAAAAGAACAAAGTAACTATGCCTTGTCGACGACATATCTTTCGACAAAATGATTTTTCGACAAAAAATATAGAATCCGTTGATTGTTACATGACAATCTATATGCCAATGCGAATAGATCGCTTGTTTACATGTGTGCTGTTGGTTTTTTGAATTCTTAATTGTTAATTATAAATAAAAGAGTATGTAAATGAATCTTACAAAAGATCGTATATATACATCTAACATAGAATTGAAATCAACATATATGAAATAACGCTTCTACATTGCTTTTCAGTGCTGGACGAGTCAGGCCATTTTTCGAGTCTAGTCAAATCAATTTTGCTATTTTTTGCTTTCTGCTTATTTCGATAAAGAACTTTAGGAGTGTGGGTGGTTGGTTTTCGAGCTATCATACTCAACGTCGTGCATATCCATTTCATCACACACCCATACCTATACACCAACACCCTTTAGTCTGAGTGGGGCCACAGTCAGATTAGATCATAGAAAAATGCACCATTGTTTTCGTTGACGTCTATGGTCATGTAGATGAAATGAATGTGTATAATACATATGATCACATTTCAAAGTTAAAGATGAATATACGGAGATGAAAATAATTATGGCACACTCTTTGGTTCAATTAAATGATTTACCTTATGAAATTCTTATGATTATTTTCAAAAATTTGGACAATGATGAAGTACTCTATTTTTAATAGGTGTTAATAAACGGCTCAATACATTTATACATGATTCAGCTTTTACAAGTCACTTAACATTGATGAAACGTTTCTCCAATAATCCCATCCATCCATTATTTGATACAATACTTGATCGCTTTTTTTTACAAATTTTACCTTCGATTCATCATAAAATCCAGTGGCTCGATGTTGAATCATCAAGTGTGGAACGTATTCTTCTTTCCACAAATTATCCTAATTTATATAGACTTGGTTTATATAATCTTGAAATAGAAGAAGCAAAACATCTTTTTACTAGTAAGATATTTTAATGTAATTGTCATTAATTCCTCAACAAATGAGAAGTATTAAGAAAATTTGTACTATTAAATTCATTATAAATTTAATAGAGTTGAGTAGATCATTGAATGTTCTATTGATAATAAATTAGTTCTATCTTTGAATATGAATAATGAATAAGAATAAAATCTTTATCAAAAAAGGTTACTTTACAATGAATGTAAATATTTATATTGGAGAGAAAATTCTATATAAATGATTAATTTGTTTCTAAAGACTTTTGTATTTATGTTTAGATGAAACTATTTTAACTAATTTATTTAAAAATCAAATTTCAGTACTTACCATCCGTATTAGGAAAAATAAGAAACAAATTTTAACAAAAGATGAGAATACAATTATATTTACAGATATCTTTACTATATTCACCAGTCTACAGTATCTAAACTTCAAACCATCTTCAAATTATCCTCAACGGTTATCATTTGATATTTCACCTCCAATTTTTATTTCTTCAACTCTCTTAGAACTACATGCCAATGTAGAACATCACATTTATTGATGGAAATAATTTGAAAAGAAATATTCTAAACCATATGCCACAATTAAATAAATTTACATTTGACATTCGCTCAAGTTTTCGTCTTCATAATCAAATTAGTTTACTATCAAATGAAGATATTCAACATACACATTCAATGATTTTCAAAATAATCAAATTATTTCTTGTGTTAATTATTTTTCCAAGTTTGGACGATGTGAATGTCATATTTATTCTTATCCATATGAACGGGAAGAGTATCACAGAATAACAAATAACTTTCCAGGTGGAATATTTAGATATGTTTGTGAAATATCATTATTTGATGAAAGACTTTTTGAACATAAATTTTTTTTTCCAAATTTCTCAATCGTTTCCATTTATGAAAAAATTAACTTTAATTAATGAAAAACCAAAAAATGATATACAATCTAGAAAATTTAATAATAACAATCAAAATTTATCAATTATTGAGTGTCCACATCTTTCTCATCTTGATCTTGTTGAAGCTCATGATGACTATGTCGAACAATTTCTTGTTGATACAAACACTTGTTTGCCAAATAATGTTTTTCTTAATGTCGATTATCAGAGACTAAAAAGAGTGACACAATATTTTACAAGAAAAACAACACGAACAAATTGTACAAAACTAGGTTTTTTAGGTCTTATTTGTGAATGTGAAATTCCTGAATATTTAAAACAATATTTCCCTCACACAAAAATATTATGATTGTTATCAATGTTTGTTTAAATAAAACATGTTTACGAGTAGATTCATTTATATAGAACTATGGCATTGCGATGAAAAGAAAAGAATGAAAGAGAATTAGGTTTCAAATGTATACCTTAGAGATCCATATTTTACATCTTTACTTTTTTATATTTCTTCGAAGAATATCAACTAAGAGTTAAATGAATTTTCATCTATAACAATATATTTCATTATATTGCATCTTATATAGACTTGTATATTTTTGTTTAGAGTTACACAAACTCAATTCTAGCTCTCTGTGTGGCAGAGCTAGCGACGTGCAGACCATAGTGTATACTGCAACTATTAGTTCTCGTATAGGGTGTGAATGTTCATCGTCTCTTCACTTACACCCCACATCCACACTACACCTCACACACACACATATTCCATACCTGTACTCTTCCATGAATTAATAATATTAACAATATTTTATAAAGAAATTTAAAGAATGGTCAAAAACGATTCTTTCTTAATATGATGTTTAACTATATAAGAAAAAGGGAGTTGTGTTGTCTCCTGTAGACTTTTGTTCGACTAGTTCACGTAATGATAGATAGACTCAGAATAATAATTTTTTGCGATAATCTATATCAAAATTGATATGAAAGACAATTATGGAAAACGATTCAATTAACTGTTTCTTTCTTAAGTTTTCTTTTCTTTTGTCATTTCAATATCTCATTTAATTTTTAATAATCAAGACTTAAATTAATGCTTTCATGTTTTTCATTCTACAGTATTCAAGTTTATATCTCAAATTTTCGATTATTGGTTCAATCCACCTCAAAATGTGATACTCTAGAACAAGATCTAATTATCATTTTCATTTGAATATTCAACTAAGTCGAATCATTTATGACGTCGTAAGTTACACAATTTTATTTAAGAATTTATTCTATCTAATATCTTTTATGTAAGATCTGAACTAAGATATAATTTATAGACATCTTGAAAATTTAACTACAACATAATTTGATTATTTTCTATCAAGATCTCTGATTCTATTCAGTTGAAAATATGCATTGTTCAAAAAACGATCGTTCAATTATTTTTGAATCAAGATCATGTGCATTATGCAGACCTAACTATATTGAGATTTTCGACTTACAACTTTGCATAGAAACAAGTCTGAGTGAAAATAGTTTATCGTAGAAGTTTTAGATTTTGTTGCTGTTCTTATTTTGAAATACAACTATGATAATTAAATGTTGTTTAAATCACTCGTACAAAACAGCAGATTTTATGTTCTTATTCCAAGATAGAAGCAAGTCAACTTTTTCTGGTGTTTCTGATGAGCACCACAACATTTATTGAAAAAAATACAGTACTTTCACAATACTAAACTAAGAACACGTATTCTTTTCAGGATACTCCTTGCTCATTTATGTCTATTACACCATACTCATGATCTTGACTCAAAAGTGATTCAATAGTTAGTTGATTTGCCTTACAAGTACTTCTGAAGTAGGCTATTGAATGAAAATTTTAACATTAAGTATGAGTCAGAAATAACCAAGTTAGAGACTAATATTAAATTCAAAAAAAAAATAAAAAAGAAGCCTCGAAATAATTGTCTTCATGAAGATCATTGAATGAAGATTCGTTTTTACTGAATGATTCAGAGTAATCGAATTATCTGTACGATGTTAATGATTGTTTGAAAATTACTTGATATATAAACAAAGAGAAGATTAAAAAACATATTTTTATGAAAGTTAATTTTAGATTTTTAGATACTATGACTGTAATATAAAGTAGAATAGATATGATGTGGATGTATATTAAAAGAATATTATACCGATTTTCATCGAATTTTTGAAAATTTTATTTAGATTTCTAAGAATAACTTTGAATCATATGTATATAACATAGATATTAATCTTATTTGAAAAGCAAAATATTTTTTGAGTAAATCAATTTTTAATAATAAACATTGATTCAATCGTATTCTCTGTGTACTAAAATCAATACGATGATCTTGTTCATCATATTCGAGTACATAATATCATAATTATTATCATTTGTCTCTAGTAAGTTTATCTATTTATTTAGTAGAAAAAAACTAAGAATTTTGGTTTAGGATAAGATCTCGTATAAATATACAAATGAAAGTTAATCGTTCT